CAGTTACAGTGGAATTCGGGGCGTTCCAGCTTGGCAGCCTCCTGATAGGTACAGGCTGTCTTGTCGGTACCCGATTGGTTCGGCCCATCTGGCCTGACCGCAAACTGCCAACCGTAGCATCTTGGGACATAGGCACCTCTGTTAAACCTAGCTGTTGCTGTTGCTAGGGAAGTAACTAAGGGCAGGCTGCCTACTTACTTCCTGCAGTTTTTCCTGGGACTGGGTCCAGGCCTAGTTCACTCTCAAGATGGAGGCTTTTTCTAAACTGGAGTCAGTTAGATTTAGGTCTCACATTAACAGGACATGCCGGTGGATGAGGAAAGAAAGGAATCAATAATTTCTAGATGTTTAGCTTGAGTAATTGGTGTCATTTAATGATATGGAGGAACCTGGGGTGGAGGTAGGTTCCATTTTATTTGAGAAACTTATTCGACATTGATGTGGAAATACCATGTGGATCGACAAGGGCCAGGTTCAGATGGATGAAGCTTGTTGTCACTGGCAGACAATGGTTTGAAAGCCAGCAACTGGATGAGATCCCCAAAGAGAAGGTGGAGAGAAAGGAGAGAAAGAGGCTTGGAAACACAGCCCGAGGCATGAACATTTAGAGGTTGAAAAAGAAGAGGAGCCAGCAGAGGTGACAGAGGAGTAGCCAGGAGCTGGGAGAAAAAACACGGAGAATGTGAGGGCAGGAAAGTAAAGGAATGAAGTGTTTCAAGAAGGAGGGAGGATCAACCTCGTGGAATTCTTCGGAGAAGTCAAATAGAGTCCTGCAAGCGACTGGTACTTTTCCTTGAAGAACAGTTTCAATGGGATGATAGAGGCAGAAATCCGACAGCAGGATTCAGGACACAACGAAGAGAGGAATACATGAGCAATGAAACGACAGTGGGGCTTTCTCTCTCAAGGAATATCCACATTTAAGTACTCAAATGTTTACTAGCCATGACTTAGATCGCCTTTATTTCATGTAATGCACTACAGCTGTCAGCATGGAACATAAAGACTGAGTTTTTCAGAGCGCTGGAAAAAGAACGAAACCAGGGTTTTGTGAGAGCATGGAATTTTCCACTGCGTTTGCGGACTTTCAACCACAAATGTAGCAAGTCTCTTGGACGCTGTCACTGTCGCTATCTCGGTTGTTACATTAAAGGAGAACCGTAGCACTTCTGTTTGCCTGTGCCGTGTCATCATGATCGTCGACCTCTCACCTGAGCTTTAGGCTGGGAAATGATAAACCTTTTTTTCTCCCCACCACTTCCGGGTCTTCCCATTCATCCCCAAACTGGAAAATATTCAGGCAAAAGGACTCATGGCCTCTAAAAATGTTTAAGGATCAAATCTTTGGACCCATGAATGGCACAAAGACAACGACAAGGAGCATTTCACATACTCCCTAGCTGATGTACTGCGGTAGGTTGGGGTTTTGCCAGTCAGATCGCAGCCACAATGAGTAGTTAAAGTAACTTTGTCAATTCCGTGCAGCCGTCTCAGGCTGGAAGTCGTGGTGCAGATGTGGAAGGTGGCGCGCTGGGGCAGGGTTGGTAAGTTAAGGTAGGAGCTCTTTATTTTCTAAACCTTGGACAAACTGAGTGAGATGTACCTACGTGTATGTATATAATTTTAGCTTAAGGTGGCGGAGACGTTTTGGAGACATTTGAGCAGACTAACAAATAGTATTTGTATACATGTAACTAAAACAGTAATTTATCAGGTAGAAGGCAGATGGGGGGAACGAAATGCCAACCTGTATCTACAGTTGGGTTGTGTTGATGATAAAGTGCTATTTATTCAGGGCCAGCCTCGCTTGTCAGCAATGAGAGAGCCGTCACGGCACATGACTCCCTGTGTAGCTAGAAGACAATAATAAATTATCTCCTATGCAAACAGCACCGGCATAAAAGCAGAACGGATTCTGCTTCCCAGATTCCTGAAGATTCTCACTCATTCCCTCATTTGATTCTGTTTGAAACACGATCCTCCCCACGTCCTCACACTGGTGAGATCACCTCCGGTTTGGGGAGTTATAGGAAGGTATGTAGGACACAGTTGGTGATCTCTGCTCTGGAGACACTGTGACATGCAACGTGCCTAAGCGAGTCACATAAATGTTTTTTTTTTAATACTCATACGATCGTATGGATTTTGGGGGCCACCTGGAGGAAAAGTGGGAGAGTGTCACCCAATGTAGCTTGGTCCCAAGAATCTTGAGGCACCTAATGAAAATACAGAATCTTGGACCCAATCCTGGACCCAATAAATACAAACGTGTCGCAAAATGACTCAGAAATACACAGCCTGCCCTGCGGTGATTTTTATGTTGAAAGTGGTGTGAGGAACAAGGAGCTGAGGGTGAGAGTTAGTTCAAGCAGTGAAAGAATCCAAAGAAAGATATGTATTCTCACAAGAAAAAAAAATAACAGTGAAGAAATACCGCCCTTTTTGAAAATGCTTTTCCATTCCCAATGTGCGTTCGAATCTCCAATGCGTGTTTGAATCACCTAGAATTTTTGGAAAAAAATTTCCAAAATTTGCAGTTTCTATTTCAATAAGTCTGGGGGGATGGCCTGAGACTCTGCATTTTAACACGATGCTTGGTGTTGCCAGAGCCGCTGGACTTGAGTCCAGCAAGATCATAGAGCCGTCATTTTCACACAGAAGAATCCAAACAGATTGGAGCTCAGCCAACAGTTTTGAATAGCAAACATTCCACACGTATGGCTTTGAATAATGCCACATGCAGTGAATCCTCATCTTGTGTTTGGACACCAGTAAAACCTGCCTTCTTTTGTTCAAATGACCTAGCTGACAGTCTTGTGATAATTGTTATGATATGTGAAAATCTCTTAGAAATGTTGTACCTTCTTTCAAGGGTTTATAACTGCATGTGGGGGATTTTATGTACATTATGAAAAAAAAAAGTTTTTAAAGGACAGTTGTTGAGCTTCTTGGCCAAAGCCTTTAGTCTAGAGGATGTAGGAGATAAGATGTAGGTACTTGCCATCCATGCTTGTTTTCCTTCAGGACCATATCTTCCTTCCTTCCTTCCTTCCTTCCTTCCTTCCTTCCTTCCTTCCTTCCTTCCTCCCTTCCTTCCTTCCTTCATTTTTAAATGTTATTTATTTTTGAGAGAGAGGAGGGGACCATGAGCGGGGTAGGGGCAGAGAGAGAGGGAGGGAGAGAATCCCAAGTAGGCTCCATGCTGGCAGTGCAGAACTCACAAACCATGAGATCATGACCTGAGCCGAAATGAAGAGTCAGCTGCTTAACTGACTGAGCCACCCAGGCGCCCCTCTTCTTCTTTTCTAACTCATGATGGCAGAAACCTCAGCACTGAGGTTGTCTTCAGGGAGAATGATGATTTGGAATAATTTCATCTATAGAATGTATACTGTGTATGACATGAGGTCCAACTTTTAAATATATTTTAAATATTTACTTCTATTGTGAGTGAATTGCCTTCTTTAAGTATCTATTTTATAACTTGTTAAGACACTTGGACAATAAATAAAAAGCATGAAAACTGACAATACGCTTTCGGACACACAGGTTTATAAAAGCTATTGTATTTGCCCATCATAAATGTCACTACCAAGTGGGTACAATAGATCCTTGGTGTTCAGCAATGATATATCCTGAGAGCTTTGTGAGTTCCCCTGTGCCAGGCCTTGTAACCAAAAAGGGAAATGGTCTGGTGAGATGCCTAGAGAGAGCGATTGCCGCAGAAGTAGGCCACAAACACTCCTTGAGGTGGGGACGCGGGTGACAGGCGGCGCTCGCACATCTGGCAGCTATCTCATGTGGCCCCTCATGGTTGAGATTCAACTCAGCAGAATTATAGATTGCATGTGTTACAGATATTCTAAAGCAGCTGGTAAATTATCTGAGGCACAAATATGAAATCCACTGGTTTAAAGAGCTGCCACATACAAACAGTATTCTGTGCACGGAAAATATCTGCACCCACGTGCAGGGCTCGGTCTAGCTCTTCACAGCGGCTGTCGGAGGAGGGGGTACATGGCTCCTCCTCTTCCAGTGGTATTTCTGCATCACTCTGACACCTCGCCAGTGGCTTGGGTAGTGCTGATGACTTTTGTATCAGAACAAAAATTAAGAGTTCTTTGTGTCTCTTGAGTGCCCATGGTGATGATTTTCACTGAGTAGTGCAACGGACTGTCGATTGGTAGTACATGATGATCGAATCTATATGCTGTGACAGAGGTTTGTGTAGCAAAGGCTGATACTGGGATACATCTCTCTTGTCATTCAAAAACATTTTTCTGAGCCACTAGTACATGCGAGGCATTACGCTAGGGGCTCACCTATGGTCTTCACTGCATTTCTTTAAGAAAGAGAAACAACTATGCCAACAAAGTGGTTCTCACTGCAGCTCATACAACTCAGAGACCAGCACATATTCGAAGAGGATGTGAGCCACAGGCCTGGGTGCTGTGTGGTGGTGGCTTCCTTTTCCAAAATTACTCATTCCTTCTTAGCTGCCACTTGAAGCAAGAAGATCTGGCATCAGAGTCCTTCCGTAAATCTCCCGGGCGTCTCCCCAGGAATAAAAAGCAGAGCATTAACTCAGCTCGCTTCATCCTTAGGGGTCCTTCTTGGTGTCATAAGTCATTGGAAAACAATTATAAAAAAAGAACAGCTCCCTCCTATTTTTCTAGGGATAGGTTGTAATAACAGTCAGCAGCCATTCTTACATCCTATGAACAATAAAAGGAAAAGTAATATTTACAAAGTTAACATTCAGATAAACATTTTAGGAAGGAAAACTGTTTAGATATTTGTTCCTTGTCTAAACTGCCTTAATAAGGGCCAAGACTCCTTCCTTTCTTGAGTTAGGAAAACAAACAAGCAAAGGACATTTTAAGCCAGAGCTCGAGAGTTTGCAGGCCTGTGTGTTTATCTGGCTTGCGTCTGATTTGTGGCATGACTCCCGGAAGCCGGGCAGGTTGGCATTAATATAAAATTGCCTGTTGTTGTTTCAGAACTGTATGTTTCACAGCAATATCAGCAGTGACTTGAAAGCATTTGCAGACAAGTTCGGCTATGATGTCCTCATCCTCCTGGCCAGCTACCTGTCAGAGGAAGAGCAGCCGAGACGACAGATTGCTGTGTACTCCCAGAACCTCGAGTTGTGCAGTCAGGTAAGGACCTTCTTCACTCTGGCCCATTTCACTGCTTCCTAACCTACTGGCTGTCACAACACGCAGTGGGACATGGGGACGCACTGGTGGCCCAGAGAAAGAGACCCAAGAGATAAGGTCCTAGAGTGTGAGTTTTAAGAAATGTGGGTGGGAGCACCTGGGTGGCTCAGTCAGTTGAGTGTCAGACTTCAGCTCAGGTTGTGATCTCACAGTTCATGAGTTCAAGCCCCACATCGGGCTAGGTGCTGTCAGTATAGAGCCTGCTTCAGATCCTGTCTCCCTCTTTCTCTCTGCCCCTCCCAACTCACACTGTCTCTCTCAAAAATAAATAAACATTTAAGAAATAAATAAAATATTATTAAAGGAAGAGAAAGAAATGTTGGGGGTATTGTGCACATTGGGCCATTGATTGATAAAAATCTGTGTTTAATTCTCAACACTTGACTTCAGAGTTTTAGTGTTTAGTTTTACTGCTGTATTGCCAAAAAAAAAATCACCTAATTAGAATTGGCAGTGAGATAAATATTGGCCCTTTTTGAAAAGTTGAGGTGTAATGGGAATCCAACATTGTATTCGTTTCTGGGGTATGACCTAATGATTTGATATTTGTGTATAGTCTGAAGTGGTACCCACAAAGTCTAGTGAACATGCATTGTCATACATAGTTACAAAACACATATTCATGTGATGAGGATTTTTTAAGATCTCCTCTTTTAACAACTCTCAAATATGCAACACAGTGGCCATCTGTACATGACATCCCCAGGATTTCCTTGTTTTGTAATTGGAAGCTTCTACCTTTTGACCCCCTTTACCTCCACCCAGGGCGTGTTATTTTATTTTATTTTATTTTATTTTATTTTATTTTATTTTATTTATTTTTTGTACTAAGTTTAGTTGACAGGTGTAGAATATAGTGATTCAACAACTGCATACATTATGCTGTGCCCACAAGTGTCACTAGCTCTTGTCATCATACGACACTTATACTGTTGACTATATTCCCTGTACCTTTCATCCCCCGTGACCACCAAGGGCCTTTTAAAAGATCCCCATATCTATTTGTCTTAGAGACTAAATCTATAAAAGAGAAAGAGCATATCTTTTTCACCCAAAGAAGGGCGAGTCCTGTGGACAATGTTTGCTTAGAAGGCTGCTATTTGGTCATACCTAAAGAGGCTTAGTCCTTGTCTAAATACCTATTTGGTGCCCAGTGTTTAGTCACCAGTGATCTAATGCTTTGATAAAGTTGATTTGTCTCCAACCACTAAAATTCTAATTGGTTAATTAGCCAGCTCCTCTTGGTTGATAACTGACTTTTTTAACCGAACGTTTTGGAAATAATATAAGAGGTAGACAAAATCAAAATAGGGCACGGGAATGCTTTAAGAACTAATATGAGAACCTACATGATTCATCATAATTACGGATGACATGAACCTAGAACAGTCTGCTCACTAATCTTTCCTCATTAACAGATTAGACACCTGTCTATCCGCAGGTGGCTACGCACAGTCCTGACTCCTTTCTTCTTCTACATCGTCACTCTCTGTTCCCCAGGAGATCCATCTTGGCTGTTTTGCATGTGACTGTAGGCACTTACAGACTCCTCTGTGCATTCTCAAGTCCAAATATGGAAGAGCCCCTGCTCCAGATGTGTTTTGTACCCTCCTTTCTGACCCTCACACATCTGTGCACTGCCTCACCAGCCTGTGGCTTTTTCAATGCTTTTTGTCTGCACTGGGTTCCAAAGCTCTATTTCATCTTTGGTCACTGGTTTCCTAGGGACAGACTTATATCTCCTAAGCCTCCAACATGGTGGTTTTCAAATCACTTTTAGAAGCAAATCAGTTTTAAAATTGAGTAATCTAAAACAGACAAAAGCGGGAGAGCAGGTAAAGGGATCAGATGCCCTTGAACCTGTTCTCTCCTGCCTCCCCTCTTCCCCATGGCCTTGAACCCGCTCTGCCCTGCCTCTCTTCTTCCCCATGGCCTTCCCCAGCCATCACCTTAGAGACAGTTCCTCTGAGCAGCACAAGGTGAAGACTACACTAGAGGAATCCTGTGTCCACATGATCACAGTTGATGAAAGGTCAGCCTCTGCAGAGTTCAAAATGTGGCTTCTTCACTTGTTAACTCCAAGTTGTTTAACCTTGCTGTGTCTCTATTTCATCACTGGCAAAACAGGGACAAAGAATCCTTATCTTGTAACAGAATTATTTTGAGGATTAAAGAAAATAATGCACATAAAACCTTTAAACTGTCTGTGCCTGGCATATGGAAACACTCAATAAGTGTTTATTAGCATCATCATCATCATCGTCTATGTGAGCCCTGTATTTATTATTACTATTGCTGCTATTACCTTCACTAATCCGGTGGGGCCATTTCAAAAGCCCACTGTGCAAAATATCCCTGACATTTCCTAAAAATCCTAGAGCTGCATCCTGGTTCTGGCCTCACACCAGCTGTCACACATTCTCTTGGCCTCCCAGGTGAGCTTTGTCTGTTCCAGGCTCCCTGTCGATGCGTCCTGGGGAGGGAAGAGGTAGTTGGGGCCCGAGTGCTGTTGAAAAGTTCCACCTCTGGTACCTTTCTCTTTATTATGTTTTCCTTCTCCTTATGAGGCTTTCCGAGGCAAATGCAGGTCCTGGGTGCCTGGCCCTAAACCAGAGCCCTTCGCCCACCCGATTGCCCCTTATTCTTACACGTGTCCCCCTAGTTCTTCTCGGCAACCAGCATTCTCTCTGCTTTTTGCAAACTTGAGTTGCACTCCCATTGGAAGATGGTATCCTATTACGACAAGAAAAGGTTGACATCTCTTAACCTGCAACTTTCAGAAGCAACCAAATTTGAGCAGCGGGATTTTGAGTTAAAAGAAGAGTCAGTTGGATGGGATTGTAGAAAGAGTCAGTGGTACAGGAAGCGGGACTTTCCGTGTCTTACGTTAGGCAGTTTTCAGTTGTTTGAGATCTTCTTCGTAGACAGATGAACACAGATTGATTTTATATTAAGAAAAATTAAGAAAGACCCATTGCCAAGGGCAGGCAGTGCCTGAGTGCTCACACAGACCCCTGTGCCTCCCTGACAGATCTGCTGTGAACTGGAAGAAAGCCAGACCCCTTGCCTGGAGCTGGAGCCCTTTGAATGTGGCTGTGATGAGATCCTGGTGTACCAGCAGGAGAACCCTTTGGTGACCTGTGATCAGGTGGTTCTTCTTGTCAAGGAAGTCATCAACAGGAGGTGTCCAGAGATGGTCTCCAACAGCCGGACGTCCTCGACAGAAGCTGTGGCAGGCAGCGCCCCGCTGTCCCAGGGATCTTCCGGGATTATGGAGCTATACGGTTCTGACATAGAGCCCCAGCCCAGCTCCGTGAATTTCATAGAAAACCCTCCAGATCTGAATGATTCTAACCAGGCTCAGGTGGATGTAAACATCGACCTTGTCAGTCCAGATAGCGGGTTGGCCACCATTAGGAGCAGCCGTTCATCCAAGGAGAGCTCGGTTTTCCTCAGTGATGACAGTCCAGTGGGAGAAGGGGCAGGGCCTCACCACAGCCTTCTCCCAGGGTTTGACTCCTATAGTCCCATCCCCGAAGGAGCAGTACCGGAGGAGCACGCCCGGTCTGGAGAACACAGTGAAGCCTTTGACCTCTTCACCTTTGACCCAGCACCCCTGGCTTCTGGGCAGTCCCAACCATCTTCTCATTCTGCAGACTACTCTCCCACAGATGACTTCTTCCCCAATAGTGATTCATCAGAAGGACAACCCCCGACGGGGCCTAAAGAAATCAATGGGATAGGGACGGACCTGTCCAAATATTCATCCAGTTCGCTTCTGTCAGAGGCTGGCAAAGATAACCTTGTGGAATTTGATGAGGAATTTGTTCAGAGACAAGAAAGTCCCAAGGATAACTCTGAAAGAAAAGTGAGCCTGACAGGTTTTATGGAAGGTAAGTCTCCTTCCCCAGAAAGGCTGAAAAGTATTGGAAAGAGGATCCCACCAACACCTATGAACAGCTTTGTAGAAAGCTCACCATCCACAGAAGAACCAGCCCTACTCTATCCAGAAGATGTGACCCCAAAAGCAGTAGACACGGGTCACCTAGGGCCACCTCAGACCCGTGCGCGGTGCAGCAGCTGGTGGGGTGGTTTGGAAATTGACTCTAAAAATATTGCGGATGCATGGAGTTCCAGTGAACAAGAGTCTGTCTTCCAGAGCCCCGAGTCATGGAAAGACCATAAGCCAAGCCCAGTTGATAGGAGAGCCTCAGATTCTATATTTCAACCAAAGAGTCTCGAATTCCCAAAGTCAAGTCCCTGGGAGCCTGAATTTGGTCAGCCTGGGCTGGGCAGCAATAATATTCAAGACCCAAACGAGGACCACTTGCAGTTTCAGAGCATGCCCACAGAGAAATCGAGTTTGCCCAGTGCTTCTCCTCAGGGAACAAACCACCTGATAGAAGACTTTGCTGCCCTGTGGCGTTCTGATCGCTCTCCCACAGCGATGCCGGAGCCGTGGGGAAACCCCACAGAAGATGGGGAATCAGCTGCTGTGGTGTCATTCCCAGGCTGGAGTGCATTTGGTAAAGAAGAGGGTGCCAAAGCCTTGACAAATAACTGGAATCTGCATCCCACGAGCGGCGAGACACCTTCTGCAAGGGACCCGAGTGAATGGGCCATGGCAAAAAGTGGGTTTTCTTTTCCTTCGGAAGACAATTCACCCAGTGAAGCAAATAATGAAGCAGCTCCAGAAATCTGGAGCAAGAAGAACCACGACTCCAGGGATAATATCCTTATATCTGGAAATCCCAGATCCAATCTGGATCATGCGTGGAATAATTCTAAACCAACAAAGGAAGATCAGAATGGCTTAGTGGATCCACAAATCAGGGGGAAGGAGTATGAAAAGGTAGACTCCTGGAACCTTTTTGAGGAAGGTATCAAGAAAGGAGGGTCAGACGTCCTGGCGCCGTGGGAAGATTCTTTCTTATACAAATGTCCCGATTACAGTGCATCCAACATAGGGGAAGATTCGGTGCCCTCCCCCTTAGATACCAACTACTCCACATCTGACTCCTATACTTCGCCAACATTTGCTGGAGAAGAAAAAGAAACAGAAAACAAGCAATTTGCTCAAGAGGGAGGGTCTGAGTCCAAAGATGCTAACTCTGCCACCAGGGAGACTGAAATGCCTCCCCAGTCACCCCAGCAGCCACCTAGAAATCGAATTAGTTCAGGTCCTGGGAACCTAGAAATGTGGGGCTCACCTGATGCAGATAAAAGTTCTGAAGCAAATGTCACTTACAGCTCCGATAGGGATTTACTCGGGACGGAGCCCACAGATGATAAGAACATCTCCATGGAGGACGACCTCGGGGAAAGCAGCCTGTCCAGTTACGACGACCCCAGTGTGATGCAGCTGTACAATGAAACAAATCGACAGCTCACGCTCCTACACAGCAGCACTAACTCCCGCCAGATGGCCCCTGACAGCCTTGACCTGTGGAACAGAGTGATTCTGGAGGACACGCAGTCCACTGCGACCATCTCTGATATGGATAACGATTTGGACTGGGATGACTGTAGCGCAGGTGTGGCCATCTCCAGCGAAGGTCAAGCACAAGGATATGCGACTGAAAGCACCGAACCAGAAACCCGATTTTCAGTGAGACAGCTGGAGCCATGGGGTGTGGAGTATCAGGAAGCAAATCAGGGAGACTGGGAACTCCCTGCTTCTTCTGAGCACAACAAGGACACTCTGGCCAATGAGTATCACACGTTGAATGAAAAAAGTGGACAGCTGATCGCAAATAGTCTTTGGGACTCCGTCATGAGAGACAATGACATGTCTTCATTAATCTTACCAGGCCCATCATATGTTACGGGTTCTGAACAACACAGATCTCCTCCCGGAACTCCCAGCTCATCAGAAAAAATTAAAGACAGTTGTATCCCAGATGTGCTAGAAACCTCTGGAGCCAATGAGTCAGATGCCCTTGATCCCGATAAGCAGGACACATGCAGAGGAACCTTGCCAAGTGATGCAACATCCTTGGCAACCAACCTTGAGAATCCAGGGCATTTTGGACACTCCGATCCATGGAGAGGTCCTAGCTTTGGACAAAGCAAAAGTGAGGAGGAAGCCCATGGAGCCACTGCTAGAGAGCACCTCTGTGAGGAGGAGACGTTGGATGGAGCTTCGGAGAGGTCTGGAAAAGGGCAAAGCGACCAAGAAGGCTCTTCCCCAGTTGTATCTGCACATCAAGAAATCTGTGATGAATCTGGCAAAATCAGCTCTCTTTCAGTCCCTTCCAGTCCTCAGACTGAGGAGCCCCAGGAGGTTTTAGAGCATGAGAGGGAGTCTTACAGTCCAGATCCCCGCGATGTGCACACAGAAGTGCCCACAAATGACCTGCAGGCGGAAGAGACCTGTGACAACCACCTCACGTATCACAGAAATTCAGAGGAAGCCACTGACACTTCCGGTGGGCTTGGGCTGAATTTAACAAAAACTGTATCTTTACCTGAAATGGATCTCGAGAAAACTGAAGAGTGTAACATTCTGGAACCAGAGAGAGTGAACCAAGAGCCACCCCGTGAATGTCCCCAAAGCCTTGACATTTGGGATGGCTCTGTAGATAACGACGTGCAGGTCAATTTCCCAAATTCTGAGATTACTAAGAATCTTGAAGTTGAAAGTACTGAAAACAGCCTTCCAGGAGCTATTTCGTCAGGAAATTATCGCAGAGATAGTATTTCTAGTGAGTATACACACTCGAGTGCATCGAGCCCTGGCCTAAATGATTCTTCAGCTCCATTGCCTTCCTGGGACCATGGACCAAATATGGGGGATCAGGAGCAGAATCAAGATGACTGGAGCAAACAGAGCCACCAAGAGTCTGAACTAATTACTACTGATGGCCAAGTAGAAGCAATTACTGAAATGGAGGACCTGGGCAAAAACAAAATGGACAAGTTTGAGAAGAGCTTAGATCTCAAGGTTCCTAAATTTTTAGAGATTTGGAATGACTCAGCAGATGGTGATTCCTTTTCCTCTGTATCCAGCCCTGAGACAGGCAAATATTCTGAACATTCCGATGCATATCGGGAAAGAAATCTAGTAGTTAGCCATCAGGAGAAAAATGACGAAGACCTTCCTACAACTGTGCAGCCAGAGGATGCCTTCATTTCAACAAGCTCAGGCTCTGATGATGACAGCATAGGTGATGAAGAGTCAGTGGAGAAAGAGATCCATTTGGGCACTTGCCAAGTTGCTCAGAGTGAACCCAGAGCTTGGGATTCACTGAATGAACCTAATCTGGTATTGGTCACTGCTGACCCCAAGTCTGGGGAATGTCCTGCGTATGGAGGCAATTCAGAATCAACAGAGAACAAGTCAGACCCGTTCTGTGATGATCAACAAAGCAGCCCCTATCACTGGAATTTCTCACCGCTAAAGGAGACTGAACTACAGGTTACAGCAGTGGATATGGAGATGAGATCTTCTCCTGAAACAGGGAAGACGGGAGATACCATCTGGCAGATATCTCCCACAAGTGAATCAAAGAATGAGAATTATTCCAAGTTGGAAATGCTTGGCTTCTCAGCTGAGAGCACCGAGTGGTGGAATGGCTCTCTACAGGAAGGACGACCCATTGAGAACACATTTGAAAGGGAATTGCCTAACTCAAGTAGTGTGTTAGAGATGAGTTCTTCAGTATACCACAAAGTGAGTCCCTGGGGAGTACCCATCCAGGGTGATATTGAACCCATAGAAATGCATTGCACTAATCCCTTCAGTGATGAACATCTGTCACCCTTTCTGGATAGCAATGAGGAGAGCTCCCATGAGCAACTCTGGAACATTCAACCAAGACAGCCAGACCTGGAAGCTGATCAGCTTGGCCAGCTTGTAATATTGGACCAAATTAAAGAAAAGGATTCTAGAGAGCAAACCTTCGTGTCTTCTGCTGGCGAAGAGCTGACTTCTGAAACACCTACCCAAGATAGCCAGTGTCAGAACACAGTGCTGTCCATCTGGGATCAGCCAGACGCAACATTTACTCCCACAGATGAAAATGAATGTGTTGTATCTAATGTTTTGACTGTGGAATGTCAAGAAACAAATTGGTGGGAAGAAGAAAAATCATACTCCAGTGAAATAACAAATTCAAGCATTGCCTCAGGAGATTTCCCGGCTGTCAGTTCTTCTGCCCAGTTGATAAAGAAGTCAGGCTCTGAGTGGGATATCTCTACTTCTAGTGAGGGCCCCCAAGGCACATTTGTTCCAGATATTTTACATGGCAACTTCCAGGAGGGTGGGCAACTGGCCTCGGCGTCGCCTGATTTGTGGATAGATGCTAAGCAGCCCTTCGGTTTGAAAGCAGATGGTGAGAATCCAGATATACTGACCCACTGTGACCATGACAGCAATTCTCAGGCTTCCAACAGCCCTGATATATGCCATGGTTATGAAGCAAAGCAAGAGACTGAGCAGCTCATCAGGGCTGGAGTGGGACCGGAAGGGGAAGCCAGTGAGTTATATCTCACTGAGCCAAAGATGGACGAAGAGCACAATCAGGAGCCTGGGCAGGAATTTATCCCGTACAATTCAGAACTCTGTTCTGAAAATGTAATTCCACTGCCTCCGATCAGTGATCAAGTGAACCTAAGTGGCTCATCTCAGCCTACCTCTCGCGAAGGTTCTCCTGAACCCTCTGAAATAAACAGTGAAAACAATACAGGTTTAAAAACATCAGAGAACGTTGCTGCCTCTGATGTAGCACCAACTTTGGAACTCGCTGACAGAACAATCCCAATGATTGACAGCATGGGGACCGGTATTTCTGTAACTCTCCAGGAGCCTATAATGGACAGCAACAGCTTGTTGATGTCAGAGGGCTTCTCTCCTGAAAGCCAGACAGATGTAGGAGCCTTGTCGGACCATGAGCAACTTTTTGCTACTGAGAATTCTGTCACTGTTCCTGATGCCCTGCTAGCCTCAGACACTTGTCTGGACATTAGCGAAGCTGCCTTTGACCACAGTTTCAGCGATGCCTCAGGTCTTAACACATCCACGGGCACAATAGATGACATGAGTAAACTGACATTATCAGAGGGCAATCCAGAAACACCAGTCGACGGGGATGCAGGGAAGCAAGATATCTGTTCATCCGAAGCCTCTTGGGGTGATTTCGAATATGATGTCATGGGCCAAAATATCGATGAAGATTTAATGAAAGAGCCTGAATATTTTCTCTATGGTGGTGACCCTCCCTTGGAAGAAGACCAACTGAAGCACCCGCTGGCACCTTACACACCTCCCTTTGATTTGTCCTATCTCACAGAACCTACTGTTGGTGTCAAAACAACAGAGGAACCTGGTTCTCCAGAGGATGAGTCCCTAGGGAGCGAAGCGGCCGAGATGCTGCTTTCTGCCCTTCCCGATCAAGAAGGCAAGGAAAATCACGCCGAGACCCCAGACCGACAGCCTGGCCAACTGGTTGTCCTGCATATTCATGAAGACCCTGAGTCCGTTTCTTTGGAAGTAGGAGCTGACTCCAACCTTGAATTGTCTCCGTCACACATCGACTGGGAAGTAGAAACAGATAATTCGGATTCGCCAGCAGGTGGAGACGTAGGACCAGCAAATGGTAAGAAACAACCCATCCCTCCAACCCCCAGAAACTGCTGTTTTCACGCAATTAACATATTTGTAAACTGAGCTCTTCCTACCACTGCGGGTAAAAGAGGAACTAACTTCATTTGCAATGCATGCCTCCCCAAGTCCTGTGTTAAGGCAGCAATAGTGTCTGCTTTTCCTGTAATACCCATGGGAAAATTAAACTGCTCTCCCAAAATAAAATAAATAAAATAAAATAAAATAAAACAGAACAAACAAACAAAAAACTTCTTAAATTCTCCGTCCTTAGATGGATCATTTGCAAAGATCACAAATCTCGTGATGTGTTAATAGAGCCTTGTTCTCCCCTTCTCCTCTTCATCTTCCACTTCTAGGTGCCAGCAAGGGAATATCAGAATTGGAAGAAGAAAAAATAACTCCTACCAAAGGGCCTGAGCAGGTAACAGCAGAATGCAGGGAAGAAAGGTGCCAGGAGAAGAATGAAGACGATCATGGACCACACATGGATTACATACTTGTAAACCACGAAGAGAATTCACCCGCAAAGCCAGAGACCTGTGAAGCGAGAGAAAACACATCTGAATTCGAAGAGTTTCACACAGGTTCTGAAGAAGCAGAGGTGTCAGGAACTCAGCTGGCCGGCTTCCCAGATTCATGTCAGCTTGTCTCCTCAGCTGAAAGACGAGATCATTCTGCAGAGAGAAGGTCTCCCCAAAGTGATAGGAGATCATCTCCTGAAAGTCCTGGGCAAGACCAGACTTGGATGGTCGTGGGCCATAGGGAGGTGGCTGATCAGTCGTCGGAAGATAGGAACTCAGGACCTGGAGGGGCTGGCAAAGATGCAGAGTCAACCTCTGATGCTGGCTTGGGCGAGGGTCCCCAGATTCAAGTTCTAGGAGGAATGAAGCCTCTGGAATCTTTAGCGCTGGAAGAGGCCTCTGGTCTGGGCAGCCAGTCACGGAAGAGCAAGAGGTGCGGCGAGGCTGACCCAGATGCAGTTATGATGCAGGCTGTCACCCATGACAATGAATGGGAAATGCTTTCACCGCAGCCTTCTCAGAAAAACACGATCCTTGAAACGGAAATGGAGGAAGAGACAGAGTTTCTTGAGCCCAGAACAAGGACACCGAGACCGAACGGGTAAGCAGAACGCTAGATTTATCTATTTCTTTTTCCTGAGAAACATTGTATTGGAAAACTGGGGGAATGGTGAAGGACTGTGGAATACGAAGACTATGTAGATGGCTCCTGCATAGTCAGGACAAGCAGCTGCTACGTGGCCGTGAAGACAATGATGCTTTGTGTGTATTTTCACCCAAAAAAGCCCCTTCAATTTCCATCCAGAGTCTGTACTTACCCTTCCAATACTTCTACTTACACCACCTACTCAATACCTATTTTACTCCTCAACAGGCAGCTGGAACCAGAGAGGGGAAGGCACTAATATTTATTCACAGCACCAAGCAGTTTGCTCACAGTATCTGATTTAACCAACACCCCTGAGGTGTCGGGTATTATTACCTTTATTTAGCACCAGGACTAAGGAGACTCGTCAGCAGGCTCAAAATCTCAGTGTGAAGCATTCACTCCCCAATTGGCTGGAAGACTGGCAGACAACCATCAGACTAGTGATTCATTTGTTCGTTCATTCATTCATTCATTCATTTACCATATGGTGTCTGAGCATCTGCTTTGTAGGGAGTTTCTGGGTAGCCAGTGGATATATAGCAGGGGACAGAATGCCATCTCTGTCCTCAAGCCCCCAGGTCCTGTGGATACCATTGAGGGTCGTTCATTTCTTTTCATTTGTCCTAATGAACCTCTCTTGCTCCCAGGGACAAAGGGCAAATGTGACCAGTAAAGGGGAATATCTTCTTTCCTCTTTAAAATACAGTAGAAAACAAGATCCCTTTTTCCTACTCATTTTGGGAGTATAGAGCACTAGGCATACCACATACTCACTGTGAGTCAAAGAATCTGGAGTCCAGCCTGGCCCTGCCATTATCGGTTATGTATCTTAGGATGAACCCCTACGCTCAGATTTCTTCATCCGTGAAATCGGTGGGTTGGGCCGGAGGATCTCAAGTCTTTCTCCAAGTTTACATTTGTGTGAACTTAGTTTGTGTGTAAACAGCCGTGTCTGGGAGAGCTGTGGTGGTCACAAATGACATTTCTCCATGAAAGGAAGAGAAAAACAAGAAGGAATCGCAGGGGTATACAGTAAGGGCTAGGAAGGTGCCATAAAGAGTTAAAAGCTGCTACTCAAGTGCAGCTTTTTAAAGCCAGACTTCTTCAGTTGGCCTCATCTTCCCTTCTTCCTGTCAAGCCATTTCCTTCCAGAGGGACCCCAGATCCGTTATCAGAAAGAGAGTAGCAGATGGATCCCAGCAGCCCTGCTGGCATTGTTCGAGATTGAGCTAAGAACTCAGGCAGCCTGGGCTTGGCTGAGCTATTGTTGGCATCTCGTCTGCGCTTTGCATGTGCCCCTGGCCACCCCACAGATGACCATGTTCAGTGGTGCCACTCCACCCACTTGCTTTTAATACAGTTTCTTGGCTTGTATTTTTCTGTGCCCCTGAACACAGTAATGAACATTTTCTCACAATCGGGGGAGGGGGCAGAATTTCCTGGGGCCATTTGTATTACATTTTGCCTATATCATGAACCCTAAATCTATTTAAAAGCTTCCCCTTTGTGCTAGGTTTTGAGAGGGTGCAGAGTTGTCTAAATGGTGATTCTCTAAGTAGGGTCCTAAAATCAGCAGCCTCGGAGTGCCCGCCTGACTTCAGTCAGTAGAGCATTCGACTCTTGACCTTGGGCTCATGAGTTCAAGTCATACGCTGGGAGCAGAGATGACTTAAAAAAAATTTTTTTTAAGTTAAACAAATAACCCCAGCAGCCTCAGAATCACCTGGTGCTTGTTAGGAATACATATTACTGACCCCACTCCAGACTCTTCCTGAATCAAGAACTTGCAGTAGGGTCCAGCAATCGGTGCCTTAACACAGGTGATTCTGATGCACGCTGAAGTGTGAGAACCACTGGTCTACAGCCCAGTGGGAGTTTCCAGTTTAATAAGGGAGCGAAACATAGGCGAAGAGGTAGATACTAGTGGAACATGTAAATCAAGATAGTTCATGACGACACGTGTATAAATACGAATAGCTACCTGTCACCAGCCCTTGGCCCATAGATGCACCAGCTCATATAACCATGACAGGAATTCTGCAAGGAAGGAAGCTGATGTTCAGAAGGTTGAATCACTTGCTGTGGTTTCCAGTTAGAAAGTGAAGAAGCTGGGATTTGAATTTAAAGCTTTCTGTGTCCAGAGTGTGTGTTAATACCAGTAAATTAGGAGGAGGGGCATCCATACATATGGGCATCCATCCATATGGAGGGGGAATAGGAGGTGGTTTATTTTCTACCAGCATCAGGAGGTAGAGTGCCCAGGGGCCCCGACACATTAAAGGGCCCCTGCGAAACTCTGAACTGCTTTTAAAATCTAAAGAAAAAAAAAATGATTATATTCCTGTGTGGATTCTAGGGTTTTTTTCTATCAATGCAGATGTAAACTAGCTTTGGATTTTTTTTAATGAAGGAAGGAGCTCATGAAGGTTACAGTGCCTAAGGCTCACCAAAGTCATACTGTGGCTGTAAGGGGTATAATTTGAGATAGGCGTTCAAGGCAGGTCATAATCTAGAAAGACAAAGAAGAGGGTAAGACGTCAGCCAAGTTGTCTAGAAGAGTGAGGTGAAGGAAACTGTGGACCCAGGAAGGTAATTACGGAAGCAATGTAAAATAGTCCTATTTTTTGCAACCAAAAATCTGGAAACATCTGACACATAATTTGATCATAGGACACAATCAAGACTGTCCCGGAAAAAAAAAAACGTAAATTTGGTTTTCAAAAACAGAAGTGGGCTGGGGTGCCTGGGTAGCCCAGTCGATTAAGTGTCCGACTTTGGCTCAAGGTTATGATCTCACGGTTCATAAGTTCGAGCCCCACATTGGGCTCTGTGCTGACAGTGTGGAGCCTGCTTGGGATGCTCTGTCCCTCTCTCTCTTTGCCCCTCCCCTGCTCTCTCTCTCTCTCTCAAAAATAAATAAAGATTAAAAAAAAAACAGAAATGGGCTGACAGTATATGCAATATGACATACCAGCTACAAATTGGCTCCTAGCCCTCCCCTCCTCCAGCTGCACCCCCTCACTCAGCTCCCACATCGTTTTGAGAGCAGCAAGCCATATTTTCAGAACGCGAGGAAGCCTTAGAATGTGGCTTTTCTGCCTTGTTCAAAGTCCGTTGATTTTAGTGTTAGTCACATCTAAAAAATACCTTCACGGCAATACCTAGACTGGCGTATGAGCAAATAACTGGGCACCATAACCTAGCCAAGTTGGCACATAATATTCATGATCGTGGGTTCTATTCAAAAGCCTGAGTGACGTGCTAAAGGAGCATGAAACTGTCAACCTTTGTAAACTCACCACCATCTGAATTGTATAAAAATGGGAGGGCCGGTGTACAAATACTGATCCTTGGGTCTCGGAATAAGGAAATAATAGCTGTGCAGGGTGATAAAAGGAAGCAATTTCCAAGCGGGGTAAGAAAACAGACTCTTTGTGTCTGGTCTCTTACAGATACAAGCAGGGATAGGCCGCAGGGCGGGGAGAGGCAGAGTAGGGGTGAGTGAGGGCGAGATCTGGCACCTGTGCTTTTGAAGCAGTATTTGCAAAAAACCTGATCCTTGTACGTGTGGACCTACAGCTTGTCTTGTAGCTGCGGGAGGTGAGCTATCTGGTACTCCCTAACATAAAAATGACTTTGAAACACAATAGATGTCATATTCCCTATGACCTGCTTCTTATGATCATCTCTGTGCATTCTTTTCTTTTTACATTAGTAACATTGGCCTTTTTTTTTCTGTCTGACAAGACTGTGGGAAAGAACTCCCTTTTCACCCTGTGAGTGACACCATTAAATCTTTATATGGTTTTCATGAGACCTTCTAAAACCAGACTTTTCTGTCTGTGACTTATGGTTGAGGAATTAGTACATGGGGTCTTATACCCGGTGGATGCTGAAAATTAGGAGAAAAAAACAAACAAACAGGTAACGAATTATCCGACCCTTTCAGTGTCGGGTAATATATGTTCAGGCACTTAGAAGAATCAGGCTCTTGGAGCACATGCTACCCCCTCACTGGGTCTTGCTGTTTGGATGGGCTGTCACCCAGTTCCACACATTTGCCCTTTCTCCGAGGTAAGTTGCTATTCCATCAACTACAGCATTGCCTTGTTTATTCCTGGTTACTTGGCTTTGCCCTGAACCGACCCTGGAGACCAAACTTGGCCTGAGTCTGTGTTCATTTATTTTTGTAATTCTGTTTGATCACTTGGTGGGTTATGATTGGTGGCAATCAAGTATCATTAGAAGTTCTTGAAATCTGCACTTTAATTCAGGCCTTGGTCTCCTTTAAAAAACAGTTTTTTTCTGTAATGTTTCTTTATTTTTGAGAACAAGAGAGACAGAGCATGAGCAGGGGAGGGGCTGAGAGAGAGACACACACACAGAATCCGAAGCAGGCTCCAGGCTCTGAGCTATCAGCCCAGAGCCTGACACAGAGCTTTAACTCCCAACCCTTGGGATCATGACCTGAGCCAAAGTCGGACACTTAACTGACTGAGCCACCCAGGCGCCCCTTCCTTTTTGAAAAAATTATTTTTTTCTCCAGAATCTCCCCACCACCCCCAGCTCCCTCTCCACCTCTGGCCAGCCCTACCCAGAGCAGACTTTACATAAGTCTTATTTAAAGTCTTATTTGAAGTCTGCTCCACCCAGTTGCCATTTGAAACAAACAGGGCCAGTTTTATTACCCCAGCTTCGTAGATAAACAAACCAATTCAGCAAATGAGCTGTTAGTGTCATCCAGAAGTGAGAAAGTGGTAAAATAAGGACTTGAACTTACGTTTTCTCCCCTCCCGGCCCGTGCTTGTCAGGGAGGCACAGAGGCCATAGCAATCATTTTTTAAAAAACGTTATTCTATCGGTGAATGTATCTCTTCCTACTTGCATGGTCCCACGGAGGGGTGCATCAAGCTTAATAGGCAAAGACCTCATGGTGTGATTTGGAAAATAAC